TATAAAGAAATAGAAAGGAAAAATCTTTTCATTGATTACTTCATCACTTTATTATCAAGATGAAGAGCACATTGACCTAATAGATTTGAAATTAAGGATCATACTATCATAGACTTATTGGTGCATGTTTTTCAGTAACTTAAAAGTCTTATGTTGAATGAGAATTCAGTAATTTGATTATGTAAACCCACAATTTAATTATACTGGTGGTATAAAACAAAAAGGTCAAAATCTTATGGTTAGAGCTTTGTTTGGTCTATTTGTACTGTTGAAATAGAATTTATACCCATGTGCTAAGAGTGCAATTATTTGATCCAATTTTGAAAAGCGCTTATTCTCTGTGTTGGAAGGTTAAAGTTGGACCACATACAAATAATAATTAATATCTTACCACATACACTGTTTGGACTATAAATTTTAAAGCATCAACTATTGAATATTCACAATTTACTGTTCTAAAAATAATTAAACTAAAATTGAGACTTAAAATAGGAAAACTGAAGCTCTTTTTTATTATTATTGTTATTATTAAATGAGATTTAAGCACCAAAGAAAATGATAGTTTGGATATCCTAATACAAGAGGAACGAGAACGTACATGCTGCAATGCATGTGCAGGTTTTTTGGCCGAAAATGCATCTGCAGGTTCCAATTTCTTTTTGGCAAAACATAAAAATAAAGGCACAAATTTTCATTAAATCTAGAATTAAGTATATAAATTTAGATTGTTTTGATATAGGTCAAAGCCCCTATTTGCACCCTTCATTTATTTTCTTTTTGCGGTCAGTACCTTACAAAATTTTTCCTCTCGATCAACACCCTCCAACTTTTCAAACCTATGAAAAATCTAATATTTTAGTGGATTGTCACATGAATGTTAATAATCATTAAAAAGTGTAATACATGACCAACGACCTAAATAACTCAGTAGTAATCTCATTCCATTGGAAGTAATAAGTCCTAAGTTTGAATCGCATGGCATACAGATGGGGTGGGATAAGGGATAGAAGAGAGTTGCCTCTCATTGTATAACTAATATAAAAGAAGAAGAAGAAGAAGAAGTGTAATACATAGCACCCAAACAGTAACATGGCTATTATATGATGTTATTAATCTGATATGAATCTTTTTTTTAATGGTGTAATACACGTGGATGCCACATGTGCAATGGAAACCATTGTTGGTGGGATTCTCCTTGCTTGTTCCCTACATCCTTACCCAAAAAAAAAAAAACATAAACAGGGAACTTCTACAATAGATCTGCAACATCTTAGTTTCTCCAAACTTGTTCCTCTTCATCTTAGTTTCTCGGGAACCAAACAGAGGTAGAGCAAATTTCTTTGTTCTTCATGAAATTTTGAAACTTGGTCAGATCAACTTGATTGATGGCTTTGATTTTTACATTTTAGGTAGGGTTGTTTCAAAAGGAGAGACCGATGTTGGGGAAATATAGTTAGGCTGACCTGGAGCAGCACAAAACACTAGCGACTCTGATCCCTTGCTAGAGTACCAATCCGATTCATCCTCACCATCAAGTTTGACTGAGATTCGAACTGAAGATGTTGAGAACAGTTCTACTTCTTGTTGGAACTTAAATATTTTAATAAAAAATAAAATAATATATTTTATAAATTAAATTTATTATCCCATTAAGGACTTGGTCAAACTAGCTGTTGTAGGTTAATTACCCTACTTAAGGGCACATTATTACATAATAATTGCCCAATTTATTCCTATCATTAACTTACAAATGGGAGTTACAAGACCATGAGTCCTATAAATAGGACATGTCATTTTGCTAAAAAACAAGGATGTTCCTCCACATTCTCCTATCTTTATTACCTTGCTTTATCCTCTAAATGTTCTTGGGCAAAAAATAGTGTTTTGAGTAAGGTGACTCTATGGATAATGCAGATTTATAGAATGTTATTATAAAGTTGTAGCATTCTGGGGGCGACATGCCATGTACATCTCTACTGCACCGATTGACCTACTCTCTGTAGAGGCGTGTATCGCCTTAAAGTAAGTAAGCTCTTCACACCTATTTTAATGATATTTTATTATCAATATTTCTGATAAGTTCACTAATTATTATTTTATTTAATTTTGTGATCAAGGCACAAAAATAACATGTGGTGGATATGGAGATTTTGTGCCTCCATGAAAGCTTTTGAGAACCAAAGTGGAAAAGGCTTTGGGTTGATATATTTCAAAATGTAAGTTAAACTTTTAAAGCTTATGTGACCGATGAGCCATTTATGGCGATAAGTGCGAGATGAGCTAATATGCTCTAATGAAAATTTTTGTGAGAAAATGAGTTTCTTCATGAAAATTTTTGTGAGAAAATGAGTTTCTTCATGAACGCAATTATTTGAGGAATGTGAAAATCACATATTTAAAATGCTCATAATGTGGGGGATTGTGATGTCCCTATGTATTATTATTGGTGATGAGACCAATGATGCCTAATTGAGATTTTGCATAGCATTCCTATTATACAATAATATATAATGGTGCTTAACAAAGTAAATGTGATATGCATCCCTATTATACAATTATGAAAATCACATATTTAAAATGCTTCTAATGTGGGGGATTGTGATGTCCCTATGTATTATTATTGGTGATGAGACCAATGATGCTTAATTGAGATTTTGCATAGCATTCCTATTATACAATAAGGTATAATGGTGCTTAACAAAGTAAATGTGATATGCATCCCTATTATACAATTATGATATAATGGTGTATGATGGAAAAAATAATAAGGCATTTGAGAGAAGGGATATGTGATGGACATTCTTATTGTACAACAAGGTACAATGGTGTTTGACGTAAAAAATTCTTAAATACGGGTCTCTAAATGTATGGAAAGAAAAAAGACTGGTTCACTAGCTCAATTTGATATAAAAAATTGTGGTACCATGAATTGAGAATTTGAGAAAAATGAATGTGAATTTTATGAGTTAGTAGACGTGTGGGTTGTTGTAAAAAAGTGTGAAAAAAGAATGAGTTAATTCTCTTCATTGCCCACTATACCACCAACTAGGCCTTTGGCAAAAACAAAAGTTGGAGGAAAATCTATGATCATAGTCAAGGTCTAGTGCTCATTAAGGGGAATGGGATTCAAACCTAATAATGTAGAACTTCCTATGAGGATACCCAACCCGAATTCTAAGAATTGGGTTTTGAATGGGAAAAACAAATCATAGAGAAGGCGTTGTTGAAAGATGCATCAATATTTAACGGGAAAAAAAAAATTTCGGTCCCAATCCTAAGGTGAGGATGCATCTATCCTATAACGAATTGAGGGTTGAGTTTTATACTCTTAATGAAATTTGTAGGTCATAGAGTGGGGTGTCTTAGTTATTGGAGCACCTTTGACAAATTTCACCTATATGGGTGTCGAAGTGAGGCCACTTCTATGAAAATTGGATGGACAATTTTCTAGATCACTCATGAAAACCGGGATCACGCGTAAGGCCATAACGCACTAGCTATGTGAAAAACTCAACATTTGGATCATTATGTGTGTGATACAATTCTTGTATCTTCCAATGCAGTCATAGTTCAAGACTTAGTTCACTATTGACTTTGGATTAAGAATTGTTGACTCACTAAGTAAAAGTTCAAGGCTTAGCTACCTTTATTATGCATAATAAT